CCACAGACACAAAACTTTTGTCAAGGATTGGGTGTAATGGAGGAAGCCATGGGAAAAAAATCTACATTTGATTTGAAACTTGGTTTCAAATTAGTGGGGGCATAAACACAGTGCTGCTGTGTATGATCATGAGAAACCAAGGGGAGAGAAAGGGAGGGAGACTAACATAATTATTTGAACCAGCAAAAGGACGTCATTTCATAAGATGGCTAACGAAAAACTTTTACCTTTGGCTGGAAAATGTTTGGTGTTTATATTTAAATACCAGAGGGTGTGGTTTTCAGGAAGTTAATCTAAATGTAATGGATTAATAGAGTGCAAATTGCATTTAGGGGGTGCTGGGAATTGACTTCATTTCCCAGCATCAGTTTTGTACTAGGCATAGATTATGCTCTCGATTCTTCTGGAAAGATAATTTTTCTTGAGTTTTCCCAGCAGGATTATGGAAGAAGGTGAGTGTTTGTGTTTAATACCATGAAAAGTGAGTTGAGAGGTCAACAAAGTTATAATTAAGCTCATTCATTTATTCATTTGACTCATATAAATTACACTCTAGTCCAAAAGTATGTGATAAATACTCAAACCTCTTTGAGGAAGGAAACATAGCTGATACATCTTTCTGTCCCTTACAGCACTTAGCACCACTTTGTGAATTAAATGAATGGGTCTGGCAAAAGGAAAGGTGACTGTGTCTGAAATGTTTAGAAAGTCTCATGGACAAAGTAGAATTTTAACTTGTCCTTTAAGGAGAGTCTAGTCTATCTATAAATTGAAAGAGGTAAGGAGTGTATCTATTAATAAATTTGAAAGTAAGATTTGCCTCCTAATCCAAATGTGGACAGACTGACTTAAGACCATTCAAGTCATTCAACAATTCATTTACAACTATGTTGTAGGTATTGTGCTATATCCTAAGCATGCATTATAAAATAAAACATTCAGTGTCTCCCCTAGTGAAATTTAGAGTCTATTGGGGAAGATAGATAAGAAACAAATAAATAAATATGTGTTATAAAATAAAATATGCACCGTGTCTCCCTTAGTGAAACTTAGAGACTATTGGGGGAGATAAATAAGAAACAAATAAATAAATAAATGATTGAATTGAAAAACAAAAACAAAAAAAAGAAATCCAACTTTTTTTATTGTGATGACAACTTTAAAGATCTACTCTCTTAGCAACTTTCAAATACACAATACAGTATTATTAACTGCAGTCACCATGATGTACAGTATACCCCCAGACTTATTTGTTTGATAACTGAAAGTTATCTTTTGTTATGAAAAAATTTTAACTAAGTGTGGTGATGGATGTTAAACTTACTGAATCTTATAGACCTATGTTGACTACATGTATATTGAATCATTATGGTGTACACCTGAAACTAACATAATGTTATATGAAAAAGAAAAAATCCAAATTGTTCTGACAGGAAACAAAGAAGGATCAGTTGATCAGGGGATCGGGGAAGTCCTTTCTAAGGAATGATACTGAATTTGGATAAGAAGCAGTCAGCCACCCTAAGAGCAGAGAATTTGTGGAAGGAACAACATGTGAATGCTGTCAGACAGGAAATATCATTTTGGGACCTGAAAGGAAGATTTGTTGCACAATATTTGAGATTTTTTTGAATAGAAATGGGATATCTGAGTAGAGCTCTCCTAGAATAAGGAAGAAATTAATAGCCTAAAATGGGGTGAAATGACCCTGGTGAAATTCATTCTTTCTCATAAATATCTACTGAGTCATCCTGGCCATTGGGACAATAGCAGTAAGAAGCTTGTTTCCAGAAGGAGCAGACATCAGAAAACAAGTAACTCAATAAAAAGTTTAATTTCCGATCATAATGAGGTACTATGAAGATGACACAGTGTCATGGGAGTGGTAACAGCTGCTTTGAAGAGGGAAGTCAGAGAAGACTGGAGGAGACACCATCTGCATAGCCTGGGGTGAGGGCATTTCCACAGGGCATGTGCAAAGGTTCTGACATTTGCAGTTCTCTGAAAATTCTTCCAGTGTCACAAAGTCTGGGGATATTCTCATGGCACCCCAACCTAAGGCAGACAAATACACATCACTCCACCGTGTGAGAAGGCAGCCACCCATCATCTCAGAAAGCCAAGGTTGTCCCTACGTGCTGCACCTCTTTTTTTTCCATGACTTCTGTGTCCTACTATCACCCTATGCAACTCATCTTCCCACTTGAGTTGCACTGCCAGCATACTTTCTCCTTGAGTGAAGTGTTGTTGGCTATAAGCTTGGAGGAGCTCCAAACAGAAGAACAGGAACCCTGTGTGGCCAAGGAGGCTGGATCAGGAAATGGGTATATGTAAATGAAAGCTTAGGCATAGTTCCCTGACAAGCCTGAGAGTCACAGCAACATGTCACTGAGTTCCTGCTTTGGGGACTCTGGGCCAAGTGCTTGTATCTTTCTAACATATGTATGCATGTTTGGCTGAGACTGTAAACTCTAAATGTGGAAGGAAATGCATGGGTATATATGTACAAGATACAAATAAAGTGGAAAATTATCTTCTCAAAGACAGACAGACTTTCTCAAGCTGCAATGAAGATGTACTGAGATGTTTTCAAGTTGCTACTTAATGAGAATGATACAAAATATACAAATGTATTTTCTTTATAGAATTAAGTCACTCAAAAATCAGATTCAACAAGCATTAATCAAACACCCATTATACACAAAGTATTCTGTTGGGAAAAAAATAGATTTAATTCTACAGTGGTCCTTTGCAATAAAACCCAATGTTCTTTACTTTGCCGGCAAGAGCCAGGGAGCAGCCTAACATACTGGTCACATACTAGAAGGAGGCAGAACAGGTGTGTAAGCACAGGTCTTCTGGCAACAGTTCCTGGGGTCATCTCATGAGACATCCACTCCCTGCTTAGCAGGACAGCAGGTTGGGGGCAATCTGGGGAGAAGTCGAGAGCAGTGTTGGTTACACCTGGTTAAAAGCATGAATTAGAATCTTAGTGTTACTTCTTGATAGCCATGTGATACTGGGCAGTTAACTCTACCTTCCTAAGCCTCAGGCTTCTGGTATTTAGTGGGAAAAATAATAAAAGCTACCCTGCAAGCTTGTTTAAGGATTCAACAAGCTTCTTATATCAGGTATCTGGCATCATGCCTGGCACATTTGGCACTCAGTAAATGGGAGCTACCTGTCATCTCAGACAAGAGAATTTAGCCCACAAGGTGTTCTTTTTAGATTTGGTCATATTTGCTAGCTCACTGTATCCTTCCAGACTGGAAGGGGCAGCAGAAATGGAGCTAGCTGGTGGAAAGTAGGGGCTCAATGTAATGCTGTTCTCAAGACAGGTGTCCTTTGCCATTCTTGCTCTCCGGCCCAGCCTCATGTCTGCCACCAGCAGCAGAGGTGTCCAGGGAGCCAAAGGGGCAGTCAGCGTTGAGACTCCTTGACTCAGGGCATATCAACGATCCGAAGCCTCTTGTCAGAGAACATGGAGGTTTCCGACTACTGAAGAACCTTACATTTGAATCAAAGTGCTGTCTTTTTAATGTAATCACTGCCCCCTGTACTTCTCCATGTCTGAGTCGGATGATTTACATAAATATCCTGCATACCATGTCAGAACATTTGAAAGTGAGTGTTTGAATCGGGCTTTTATTATGAAGAAATTCATTTCTAATTTAATTAAAAAATGTTTACATGCTTACTCCATCAAATACCCTGCAAATACATAGTAAATTATGTAAAAAGAAAAAAGCTAAAAATAAGTGAGTCACTTGACCTTGGAAGTTAAAAACTAAATCAGAAAAGAAACAAAAAAGGGAAGTGATTGTTCTAAGTATACCAAAGACGCCTTACGTATTCAGAAACTCATTTACTTCTGTCCAAATCAATATGCAGTGCTCAGCACAGAGAACGATCAGAGAACCACTGCATATAAAGCAGTGAAGATAACAGCAGTGATTACCACATGCAGTTGTGCAGCTGTGGTATCATCCCCTCCCCCGGCTTGGTCCCCTCCATGAGACTGGTTGCTCTGTTAATATTTTAGGCTTGAAGGACCAGAATTAATGTATTCAGTTTTGTCTCTGATTGTTGGTTTTCTGTCAAAAATCCCTGACAGAAGTATCAGCCAATGAATCAGGATAATTAGAGATGGAGCAATGCAGCAGAACATGCTGTCCTTAGAATCAGAGGGCACACCATTGTCTCCTGCTTAGCTAAGGCCTTGGCACTAGATGCCCCCCTTTCTTCTACAGGACAACAATTTTCAATTATAAATAGGCCACCAATTTTTTTCTCCACCTAATGAATATGAAAGATTATCTTCCTCTGTTTTGATGAACAGCAACTATTGTACTACAAAAATCAGAGGAAATCTGGAGGGACAGCTGGAGGAGGTGTTACAAAACCCTTAAAACTGACAGTTTCCAATGAGAAAAGTTTATATAGCCTGATCGTTTTACCACTTTTTAAAAATGATGATGAAGTAGTTTTCTATGAATAGAGAGACCCTGCTGTGCAGGCAGAGATCCTCCAGAGGATGCCCCAGTTCATTCAGCTTACAGTAAAAATAGGGAAGTGCTTGGGGGAAGATGACAGAAACACAGGAAACTGACAGCTGGAGATGAGAATGTGAAACTGTAGCACTTTCACACAGGGAGTCCCAGCCTCTGCCATGTCCCCCAGCCATCTCCTTCCTTTGTTTCTAAAAGGAATGTGGAGGAAAGGAGAAGGGAGAAGAATTATATGAGTGTCTGGCTGCCAATAAAGACAGGACCTTCTTTATGGTCAAAAATGATTAATCTTTAAGACCTTTCTTTTCACCATTTACTCAAAAACAGTTGGGAATTCAGAATCCTGTTGCTGTCGGTGGCTAAAATCTTCCTAATTTCAGACCTATTTCTGGTTTCTAATTCCCAGTTTGCCACTCCAATCTAGATTTCTTTACTTGCCTCTGAGAAATTTACTTGAATCCCGAAAACAATTTCTGAGGGAGAAAATGCTACCACAGATCATTCTGCAATCTAAGCTTATTATCAGGTTTATACAGGGCTTTTTTGAAGCTTGGACAGTGAAGGTCACACCCTAGGCTGCCTCTGACTTCCACCGCGAGAGCGCTGGGCTTCGCCATGGCAGCTTGCTGAGGCTGGGTGAGGATGCCCGCAGTTAGGTGTCGGCAGCAAGCTGTCTTCAGAAACGGGATGTGCAGGAAACTGAGGAGCAGATGAGATAAAAAAAGGGACATATCCCCCTTGTTTATTTCTTCTTAAATCAGTGGAGGTTATTTAACCACAATGGGTGGAGTTTTTGGTATGCAGGAACAAAGCTGGTGTAATAAATTGTGAAATACACGCGTGAAATAAACCTTACCCTTAGAAAGGTGGTTTCCCTTTGCTCTGGGAGATTGCTTATCATAAAGATGTTAGGTAATACCTCTGCTTTACAGCAACCCATTACAGATTTTCAAATGCCTCATTGCTGTCACAAAGCACCAAGCCCTATCTACTCTGATTTACAGTGCTAGGAGCAGTGACAGACATAAATAATGAAATAATTAAGCACGCACATAAATCTTTTCTCCAATCCCTTGTCTAAAATTTTCACTTTTCTAAAGAGTGGAGAACATCAATTTTTAATGTTATTAAATTAGTTAGAATAAAACCTAAGAATAGGCACATTTGAACATTTGATAGAATGTTTTTTCTTTCCCTCATTATGAGAGGGGGCATCTAAGGCCACCTCCCACATCAGCTGTTACCAAAACTTTAAAGGGAAAATAACCCATTAAATATAAGGGGCTAGGCCTTGTAAAGCGTTAATTAAATTGCCCTCTAATACGAACACTAAACTTATTCAGAAATATGGTTGCAAATAGAATACACCTCCAACTTTTAGTCATCCATGGAAAGGAAAGCAATGTTAGGGGTGGATCACATTGTAGTAACTACCTGATTCTAAGAGTTGTTTTTAGTTTATTTTTAAATATATACATTTTCGTTGCAGGAGTAAGAAGCACATTATTGGACCAGGTTTGGAGTTAAATCAGATGTGACTGGAAGATCTTGTTCCAACCCTTTGCACTTAACCAAGATAACTCTTAATTGCAGGACCACCAGACGACTAGAGGCTCCTAGGCTCTGGAAAAATGTTATGGATGTTGTGTGTGAGTGTGTGTGTGTGTGTGTGTGTGTGTGTGTGTGTGTGTGATCACTCAGAATCATTTTGAAATACAATTTTTCCCATTCAATTTCCTACTGTAATAATATATAACGTCTACATGTTTAAACAATTTTGAGTCAACATTTTTATTAAGAATGATTTAAAGTGTTTTAAATGACAACAATAAGCATAATAGGTTTCCGATTCTGGTTCTCCTTAATCCCCATCTCAGGAATATTTTGGGAACGGTAGCACCAGTATCAATACACTGGTCAGTCCTTTGATCTTCTCATTTATTTAAGCAATCTGAAAGAAAGTCAGACTAGGAAGAATGAAAAGCGATATTCCCAAGGACACCTTACTAGAGCAATACTGTGACCCAAATTTCTGAAAAATGACACCAAAGTGTGTAAAAATAGACCACTCATTTGATAAAGTACTTAGCTCTACAAAGTTTTAGTTAAGAGAATTTGATTAACCCATTAAAGTTCATTCAAATGGAATGTAATGAGGTCCTAGTCAGAAAAACTGATCTCTACTGAGGCGAACTTGCTGTGAACTGCATCACAATGTGTTCAGAGTATGAGAATCTCCCAGCTGGGACTCAAGTAGCAAGGAGGGCATCTCAAAGCAATCTAAGAAGTGATGAAGGCCCAAGGGCACAGCAAAGAGAAAGAAAACAAATAACGAAGTAATGGCTGAATAAGGAGTGCTATTAAGTTCACCAAAGGTCATTATACAAGTATTTTAGATAGGGGGTTGGTGATCTCTTCTTGAGATGAATTTCTTTTATTAAAACATCTTTAAAATACCTACTTTTATAAATATTTTAATATAGATTGACTGTGGACATGCTCAAAATTTTTTAACTGATAGGAGATAGAAAATGTTTACAGGCAAATTTTGCACAAGAATTTATTATTAAAATCACTTAATCTGATGAGACATCTAAAAGCACACCTTTTCCTCTCTCAAAGCAACAAATTTTGAGGGAAAAAATTGCCTGAAAGAAGCAAAAGGAAAGTTAAAGCAAAGAATTTCATTGACAATTTGGCCTACAATGTCGCTCACAATAGTTTCATAATTCCAGGAGCCTAATTTTTAATGCAGGAGTTTTTAGATATGTTATGTATAAATTGATACCAGCTTTACAAATCACTTTTAAACTAGTAGGTATGAAAAAAGTTTAAGTCTATGGGAGTGGAAATGGGGGAATTATTTTGCAGGTCAGTTAGCCTCATACAACAAAATCATTTCATCTTTTGTCCCAACACTGACTCAAAGTCTGTGAATTCTTTTCATGGCCCAGGAATAGAATGCCAAGTAAACAAGGGGGCCTAGGCTGTGATTTTAACTACCTGTGCTCAGGAGTCCGCAGTGATCCTGATTTGCTTTCTCCCACTCCTCTTTTTCCTGTCTGCTGGTCTCCACGGTGAATTCCTGTAATGCAGGGGGACCAATCCCATCTTCTTTTGCCTCAAACAGTTCCTTAGCAGTCATTGTGAAATCCAGTCATGACAGGAAAACATCTAGTTGCAGAAAAGAAATCCACTGGAAGAAAATAGATAAGCTTCCAATAACTAAAAAGGAAAATCAGGGTAAAAGATTTAATGAGGTTTTGTGCTTGTAATTAGTCACATCACTTTATCAAAAGAAAAAAAGGACTCCAATGAACCTTCTGTACCATAGTAACTCAGATTTGCATGGTATGTCACAGTTTACAGAGTTTTCTCACAGATAATTTCATTTTAATTTATATGGTGCCTGTTTATTTTTCCATCAGATTTTAGAACTTAGCTGTGATCAGCATAATCACAGAAGTTGGTGGCTGGCTATAAACATGGCCAGGGCAATAGCGGTTGAGCTGTCTTGGATGAAATAGAGCAGATACTGAAAATGGAAGCCCTAGAAGGTACTTGCTCATATATTATTCCATTTCTGGGAAGATCTCCTAGCCAGAAATTCAGATATAACACCATTGTGAAAGTCTACTGTACTTAACTTGGTTTTTTATTAATCAACATCATTTCCTGGGGGAAGTATTCATATTAAGTTTGGTTTTTAAAACCATTTCATCTTAACCACTGTTTTTTTTAAGCTTTTCAGATTGAATTCTTACTGAAAAGCCTCTTTGCAATCAACATCCACTTAAATGAAATAGAAACAACAGATACCTGGATTTGCTTCTGAAATGTTGATACATTAAGGTAAAATCAAATGCTTTGCATTATGAAAACAGCTAATGCTCTTGTTTGTAAAATTCAAATAAGCATTTCCTAATCATATGCATAGATCCAGTTTCACTTCATAATCTCCAGACTGCCACCTGGATGCATGCAGGCTGTTCGGTGACACAGTCGAGCTATTTTGAAGGTTCCTCCTTTGTCTCTGGGCTCCTTCTCTTTTATCCCCCTAGGACTCTCTGCTGCAAATTATTTTATCTTAAGCTATGAACATGAATAGACAAAGGGAGAACTGAGGCAATTATACTATTAATTCAAGCAGAAAAAAAAGAAAGAAACACTTTGCCTGAGTTATCTGGCAATTGCTGGCAAATATCTTTTTCTGTCTCAGTAATCTGGAAGATGGCCTAACTTCTTTTCTTTGGGGGTGTAGATCTGGTCTATGTCACATGTCTGAGCATTCAGTGTCTGCACATGATTGCCTTACTTCCTGCTGCTTCAGACTGTATCTATTCTAGGGAGGCTAAGCCATGATTGGAAGGTTCAGTGGTTCAGAGGTACATTGCTTACTAAGATATCCCTGTGAACACTGAGACTGATACTTTAAGTTCTTCACTGATCTTAGGGTCTGTTACACCGGTAGTGGTGAACTGGACCAACTGGTGTTTTTGGTAATGGTGAACTGGACCAACTGGTGTTTTTAGTCATTCATTCACCTGTTTATCATTTCTTGAGTGCTCTGTGCCAGGTCCTGAAGAAAGGAAAATGACAATGTCTTGGCACCAGCACTTCAAAGACACATTAAAAAGTAGTTACAATACAATGCAACAAGTCTGAGCAGTGGCTTTGCTGTGAGCAAATGCACACACCCTCTGAAAGGTTCGAAGAGACAGAAGCAGAAGCCACAAAAGTGATTTCCCATGAATGTACTTTTCATACTTGTTTTATTTATCTCCCACCATTCTCCCACCAAGCCAGTCTCACTGGAGATTCATTTGCTACCTTTCAAAGATATTCGGTCTCTGAAGGTTCTGGGGCAGACATTTTCAACCCAGGAGCTTGGCAGACGTTTGTCAAGTATCTCCGCCAAGGGCTCTCCGTGGCAGATGGCAACAGCTGTTTGTGCCTGAGTCAGAGAAAGTGCAGGAGGAGGCTCTGCAAAATGTCCTTTTTATTACACTAATGACTTTTCCCTGGAAGTGGTGTTCATTGTCTCAGTGCATAATTGTTTTTGCTAATGCATTTGCTCTGATCACACAAAAATCTAAGAACTCTATGTAATGAATCATTAACAATTTCCTTAAATTCATTTCAGTGTTTGCATGCTAGTATTCAGTTTATGCTAATAAACCTGAAATATTCATGTCTTTAAGTCTGATTGTACACTTTGTTGAAAAAAATTTGTTTTAGTAACTGTACATTTTAAATCTGCATTTTGTAGCATACTGAAGTGTAAACTCTGCAAGATTACCCCAGAATACAATATTCTAATTTTCTATTCACTTTTTAAGAGAGTGAATTCACTCTTATTTCCTTCACACTGCATGTTCACTTAGCGAGAACAAAATGATACGTGGTCATGTTTAACTTAAGAGCATTAACTGGTGTTGGTAATGGAAGAAGAAAAGTGACTGATGGTAACCTTTTTCCCTTTGATTTATTCACATTGAGATTTAGCCTCTGATCCATTTGCTGAAACAGATATTAGGAATAAGTACCTTACTATCATTATTTTTAATCAAAGAAGGGGAAGATAAACCTTGAATTCTAGTCACAAAAATATACCACTATGAAGTACAGAGTTTTCCTACATTATTATCATCATTATTAAATATATATTATGTGCCAGGTACTCTGCTCAGTGCTTAATGTTCACCATCTCATTCACTCCTTCCCCCAAGCCCATGAGGTCCATCCTCTGTTAGTCTCATTTTATAGGTAAAAGCTGAGATTTAGAGGAGCGAAGCAACTTGCCCAGGTTCACACAGTGTGGCTCTGTGATTCTCAGCTGAAAGTGACTTTGTCTCTCTGGTGACATGTAGCAAGGTCTGCAGACATTTTTCATTGTCACAACTGGGCAGGGGGCAACTGGCAGCTAGTGAGGAAAGGCCAGGGATGCCACTAAACATTCTATGGTGCCCAGGACAGCACCCGTAACAAAGAATTATTTGGCCCCAAGAGTCAGGAGTACTGTGGTTGAGAAACCCTGGTGTAGCAGCTGTGTGTGAAGCCCATGTCATAGCTCCCTGGGCGGCTGACCTCAGAGCAGCTGTGGTGGACAGCTGTTAGGGATACTGGGCTGCGATTGCTATTGGCTCCCCATCATGTATGAGGTGGCAGCTCTTTGCTTTCCTGCCTCAGGGCTTACTGCAGAGAACCTGTGGGCATGGCTTGGGACATGCAGCGTTAACATCTGGGATCAACCTTCCATCAGCTGCGCAACCTCCTGTTCACTGATGCAACAATCTGAGGACCTTTACAGAGCTCCTCTGCAGATCCCTGGACAGACGGAGGCTCAGTTGCCTGCAGGGCTAACCAACAGGTACAGCAGGCACTTACTGACCTAGTGCCATCCCCCAGTGGTTGAGGGTTGCCCCAGCATTGTTCATGCTTACCTTTGCAATTCTAGGGTGTGTCTGTGGCTGGGCTTCAGAGGAAGCTTTGGGGCAGAAGGAGAGACACCACCAACTGAGCTTGAGGTAGGATGCTGTAACTGTCTGCCTACAGCTGGCTGAAGTCAGTACTTACATATTATGGATTTTACCACTTCCCTGTCTCACTCTCCATTTTCTCTCCTTTTGGGAGGCAAATTAGAAGGTTTGCCTCCCAAATTAACTACCTGTACCCAAGGCCTTATTTTAAACTCTGCTTTTAAGGAAATGTAAACTAAGACACAGAGCTAGCAAGTCTACTATGTTATATTGGAAATTCAATTAAACAGAACCAAAACTGGCTGTGTTACCTGGTAAGCAAGAAAATCAGTGAAAAAAAAAAAAAATTGGCTTACAATTCCAGCCCCACTTTAAATTCCAAGGTCAGCTATTTAATACTGCCTTATCAGAATCTAAATAATCTTGATACTTAATCTTTTCCCCAAACCAAATACATCACCAGTGATGGAATCATCCTTTTGTTGCCTGTGTAGAAGTCCTATTAGCTTGTGGGAGGAGCTGACCTGACCTGTTGGAGATTTATGCTGAGAACTTGAACTTGGGCTTTGCTACTATTTAAAAATCGTCCATGATTTTTAAAATGACTTCCGCACATACTTCTAATTCCTTTTCAGCTAAAAACTTGGGTTTGTTAGCCCTTTTCTCCATCATCTCTGTAATATTTGACATCTTCTTCCCAAATTTTTGTTCTTTCATCTTCCATGATTATACTGTATTTACTATTCTTTTGATCTTTCTGAAAACTCTTTTTAAAAATCCACTATCATCTCTTTTTCCTCCTTACTCTAATCTGAAGACAAGACTTATCATCTGTCCTTTTTGTATACTCACTCTCTAGGTGAGCTCATTCAATTCTACATGGAGGACATCTAAATTTCTGTTTCCAGCTCTGATATTTCCCTTATGTCCTAGGGTCATTGTTCACTGTCCACTTGATTAATCTATCAGCTAATTTTCCCTTATGCAGCCCATATGGCACAGAAATTGAATCCCTTCCCAAGAAATGTAACAGAATGATCTGAGGAGAATGTCTTCCTCTTGCCCAATTGTTTCAGCAATTGTCATGCAAACCAGTTCAGTTCTCAGAGATTCAAGAAAGAATTCTTGGGGATTCTGGAGTAATTCTTTACTTTTCTGGGAAAGCTTTCAGCAGCAATTCTCTCTCTCTCTCTCTCTCTCTCTCTCTCTCTCTCTTTCTTTTCTTGCTTTTTCTCGGTCTGCACTCATGTGTGAATGTGACTCTGGAAGTGAGCTCATTATCTTAATATCACCCTGGAGATGAAGTCAGCAAATGGAGGAGTAGTGAGCCAAATGAATCTCAAGGAAATGGGGCCAGGGAACCTGGATGAAGCCTGTCCCAGTGAGTGCACTACTTGTGGATATTTAGCAAAGTGAGTCAATATTTTTCCGTGTTTCTGTTACTTGTAGCCTAAGGTTATTAGTGAGACAGTGCTCTTATGTCATCTCTTTGGAAATACCTTCAGTCTTTCTGTTCTTCTTCCTCACAATTGTCATGGCTTCAGTGTATAGCCAATTACTGGCAGTCTCCTAGCAAACATACACACTTTCGTCCTGTTCTCTCACCTTTTATACTGTTGCCAGGCCATTTCCCTAAAATACAACTTTAATTATGTTACTCCATTCC